GAAAAGTTCAAGACCCCGAGCAGTACATCCAATGGCCACCAGGCGTAGTTGTGGACCCTCTGTTGAAGACCACAGTACTATAAGGTATAAATCACTACTCCATAGTAATTTCACAAACATTTTAACTAGATGAGAAATAATTTTGTAGCCCAAAAGTGAATTTATTTCAGTATATGTCAGGCTGCGTTTTGAAATGATAGAGATGATAAAATCGGAATTGCTGAAAACAATTAAAAGTATTGTAAAACAATTAACAACCGCAAAAGTTTCAGTTGAGTCCTAGCACAAACTAATGACGCTGGCTTACCCCTAGCGTAAAATGGGCATTATGTTCCTAATATATATTCTCCCTCTTAGCTGTCACTTGTGAACGTGACTTAGCAAAACCTGTTGCTAACAACACAGGAAAAAAAGTCATTGTCCACCATTACTGTCATTGGTGTGGAACCCCAGGGTTCAACTCCTGGGCAAGATCGAATCTAGAGAGGTTGGTACCTTCCAGTGGACTAACCACCTGCAGGAAGGTTCAGGGGGGTTGGTACGGTGCAGTGTGATTTGGGTGGTGGTCGTGGAGACTGCTGCCCCCGCGACCCGGTAACGGATAAGCGGATAAGCGGATGAAAATGGGTGGATGGCTGGATGGATAGACTTAAATAAGTTTAACCATGATTAAGAGAAGGGTAAGTCAAAAAGATTTGGCCCTCAGCTCCTTTAAGTTCCAGGCCCCTGGATGGACAATGTAGCTAGGTCAAAACATGTTCCAAAGCAGCAATTATTGTACTATTATTCTGTCTTAGAACTTTCTAGAACTTCGGCCCGGGTATATATAGATGTGCTGTAATGTAGTAGATATTCCTCCCACCGTGGAATGATATTAGCCCTAAAAAGTGACAAAAAACTCGGACCTTTTGTGATTTTATTACACTAAAAGGTTAACGGTTTTATTTGTTTGACGTTTACGAAGACAACGTCCATGTCTGACCTTGGTGTCGCCACTTGCCCCGGCTCTAAAAGCACTATGGACGGCAGGAGCAGCTGCTTTTGAAAGTGCTCTAAAAATAAAACTGAACTATTTCTCATATCATTGTGAGCTGATGTCCTTCCAGTCATTTATCAACGGCCATCACAGCTGTCATAAGTCAAGTTTCCCTTCGTGTCCCCGGAGGACCACGGAGGACCGTCTCACCTGACACTTCCACGAAGCCTTCCCTTGTCTTCACGTGGAGCTCCTCTGGTTTGAAGCTGTGGACGTTGACACAAACCTTCCAGGGTTCGCTGCTGGTGGTGGAGATGGTGGTGGGGGAGCTCCTGGAGCTGGGCTCACCGTACCTGCCGCTGTACATCGCCGGGCCTCCGGTGGAATGGCGCTGGGGGAAACCTGAACGCAAAGAACCGCTGAAGGGCGACGAACCGAGGCGTGAGCTGAGCCGGCCCGGTCTAGCCCAACCTGGCCAGTCCATGCCTAGCTCATCGGGGAACGAAGGCATCCCGAAGTCTTCGTCGATAAACCGGGTCGCCAGCTGATCCCGGAACGGTGACTGATCCCTGAAGGGCGACTCTCCAAACGGGTCCCTGGGAAACCTCTGTCGGTTCCCCATGGTGTAGTAATCTCCCTCGGCCATGTCCTTCAAACTTCAACCGAACTTTTACTTTTCTTTAAATAATAAAAAACAAAGAAATAAAATCCCCCTTTTTAACACCTAAAAATCCTCTTCGTCTGTGTTGGCAAACTTTATGTCTTGTAGATTTTGCGCATCACCGTTACACAATCACCGACGAGCCGGCAGTAAACTCTACTGTCAACACAAGAAAGTTTTTAACTTTAAAGTCCACTGACATGAGACCCTCTGGTTCCGGGTTTTATACTGGGACCTCTACCCAAATGTGAGTTTGAGCAGTGTCGGGAAAGTGCTGGGAGGATCTGTGGAGGCGTGTACCGTACGAATGTGTCCGTCATACAAGTGAAAATAACTTTCCACCACAGGAGCGATCCTAGCCTGGTTGGGGCCCTGGGTTAAGTGTGCCCCGACCCTCCCATTTCCTACCTATTCTGAAAAAATATTGATTTATTTTGAATGTATCTACTTTTATTTGACGTTATAAGAGCAGGTTATAAAAATATATGAATAAAACAATTCTACATAAATGAGCACAAAAATACATACAATAGTAATTTACAATTTAATACAGATAATACAATTTCAACAGGTGTCCAATATAAAAACGTAGACATGTTAAGATGTGACTCTTAGGTGTCTTGTTGATTCCTTGTTACGTTTATTTTAAGCTTTGTTTTTAATCTAGCTACATCTGATTTGTTTTTCTTACAATAAAACAAAAAAATATGTCTGTACTTGAAATTAAAAGTAATTTCACTACTTAGATGACACAAAGAAGTCGCCTATGACCTGATGACAAAAACTTTGTTAAGTGATTTGATATTTAGAAAATAATCATGTCATCATAACTTTAATTTTCTGACGGTATTAATGAAGTTTTATCTATCTATCTATCTATCTATCTATCTATCTATCTATCTATCTATCTATCTATCTATCTATCTATCTATCCATCTATCTATCTATCTATCTATCTATCTATCTGTCTATCTATCTATCTATCTATCTATCTATCTATCTATCTATCTATCTATCTATCTATCTATCTATCTATCTA